TTTCCTTTACAAGAAAAGAACTCTCCTTGTCAAGGCCAGAGCCAATGCTCCCTTGCCCAGGTAGCCTCTTATTTGGAGTAGAAATATATATGTTATATGATTTCAGATTTACCTTTTATTATAATCTCTACAAAGAACAATTTCTTTTAATTGATGCTTTGAAAATAGTACAGGCTGAGTTAGCTCTTAGCCAAAATGCTTGGAACTGGAATATTTCAGGGTTGTTGTTTTCTCCTTCAGACTTTGAAAGAGAGCAAGTCCACCTATTTTTAGATTTATTAAATGTGGTTTTTTTTTATCAAGCACAGATAAATGCATAGTTAATTTCAAAACACAGTTTCAAATTCTCATGGCCACATCACACAGCTCAGTTTATGCAGAGAAGCAACCCTCATCTCCATTACCACCAGTTACGTTTAAAACTGTGTCATCTGCTGAGCCTTTCCCTGCCCTTAATGTGGAAAAGCATGCCTCCCAGAAAGCAAATGGTGCCCACAATGCAAGGCATAAGTGAAGAGTATAATTGAAGTGATAAAGTGAAAATGGGAGATTTGTTGTCTCTAGCGGGAGTTGTGTGGCATTATGGGAGGAATGAATTAAGCATCCACATATGAACTCCTCTTTGCCTGCAAGGATGTACATGCCTTCCTTGAAGGCAGTCTTCGTGGAATGATTGGATATTCATAGTGAGTTATCATGGAGATAGAACCAAAGTCTAAAACAAGAAGTTAGTTCATTTTCCGCATAAACCTATTGACATAGCCAGAGGCTGAGTTTATGCAATATTTTGAGCGTGCCTGTCTTTTTTGCAGTGACTTATTATACAAGATCAGGTGCAGAATTTTCCACGTGGTAGCATCATTTCAGCAGCCTCAAAAGTTTTGGGTTTGGGAGAACATTACACATTTTGCTTTTTTTTTTGGTCGGTTGTGGGGCTTGAACTCTGAGCTTGAACGCTGTCCCTCAGCTCTTCAGCTCAAGGCGAGTGCTCTACTGTTTGAGCCACAGCGCCACTTCCAGTTTTCTAGTGGTTTATTGGAGATAAGAGTCTCATGGACTTTCCTTGCCCAGGCTGGCTTTGAACCACAATCCTCAGATCTCAGCCTCCTGAGTAGCTAGGCTTACAAGCATGAGCCACCGGCGCCCGGCACACATTTTGTATTTTTGTGTTAAGAATGCTCAATTTGTAGAAGATCTTTTTAATTAACTTTAGTTTCACTAACCTGAATCCTTTTAAAGCTTATTTCTGCTGGGCCTATGATCTAACTAGTAGGGACTGAGATCTGAGGGTTCTGATTTGAAATCAACCTGATTAGAAAAATCTGTGCGACTCTCCAATTAACCAGCACAAAACTGAACTACAGGGATAGCTCAAGAGGTGGAGTGTCAGCTATGAGCAAAAAAAGCCTGGTGAGACCATGTGCCCTGGTTGACACATGGAAAGAAAAAGCTCATTTCTTCCCTGAGACTTGCTATCATGGGACCTAGCACCCTGGGCCTTGAGCCTGAATACTGTAGCACATGCTTACACTTTTGCTTCCATGAGTTAACTTTTAGTTCTTAGAGCAATCATCATTAATTAAATATTTCATAAAATCATTCAAAAAAAAGTTTTGCTAGTAAACCAGGTCTACTGGTCTCGAAACATTTGGAGTTGTTTTTGCCTTTGAGGGGGAGCTCAAGCTGGGATGGAAAGAATCATCACATTCTGCTCCACTGGAGTGAAACAAACTGTGGATTGGGTCTCACACGTGAGGTTTGTGCAACAAAAACTGTAGACTTTCAACCAGCAAACTTCCAGGCAAAGTAAGGTTCTATGTTCTACATCACAAGTTTGGCCACTTATATTTTGAGTTAAATGTTTTAAGAATACATACTTTTACTTTTCATGAACCCCCACTTAAATCCAACATCTAGGTTTAGCTACCAGCTGCTGTTTCAAACACATTGGATATGAGAGCTCCCATTGTTTCTTGAATGTTCTTCCAATCCAGTAGTCTATATTTCAACTTGGTAATGAGAGCAAATGATAGTTATGCTGCATCTAGAAAAGTACACTGTGACTATCACTCTATCATTGCTTTTTTTAAAAGCCCTCATTGTTCTGATAAGTGTATTTCCACTCTTGTTTTTTGTTGTTGTTTGTTTGTTTGGTGGTGTGGGTGTGCGTGTGCACGCACGCGTGCACGCACATTGATACTGGGGCTTGAACTTGGGGCCTGGGTGCTATACCTCATGGCTCCACTTCTGGCTTTTGTTGTTATCTTTGTTGTTTTGGTGGATTACAGGTATGAGCCAGTAAGCCACTCTTTGTTTCTAATAGTTGAGTTAGCCATTCCTGTGGCGTTGGGTAGAAATCCTCAGCTAATTTTCCAGTTAAGGATATTGAAAATTGAAGTGTCAAGTAGAAAAAACAATGACTGACCATAATCACCATGAAGGAAAAAAATTTAGTATAACCCCTTTCTGACACTCCTTTAACTAATTTTAGCTCAACGTTAGTTCATGAAAAAAGTCTGATCATGCCCTGGCTTCACAGAGTCCTTGGTGTAACTCATAAAGCATGTATACCACAAGCCCATTAAAAGGAGTAGATAAATATTTTTGAGTGCTTTTCTCTCTTCCTGCCCATTTCCCATTTGCTTCTTAGATAGAGCATTGCTGGAAGCTTTTTTTTTTCTTTTTTTACATTCACTCAATGTCAACTACAATCCATGTTTAAATTTGTTGGCTTAGAGCCACTTGGCTTACCAATTTACATTAGCCTGTTAAGAAAAATTAAATAAAATGTGAAAATGAGATGAAAATTGCTCTGAAGAGAAATGGAGGCTAACAACAGTGAAATGGCCCATTAATGACCTGATATTCAGCCCCTTGCTGAGTTCACAGTTGTGTCGTTTTGTATTATTGCCAGACACTAAATGGAAATCCAAAGGAAAAATTAAAATAATTCTTTCATAGAGCAACCATTTATTAAAGTGCCTATTCTGGGTCAGGAACTGGAGTATGAAAAGCAGGAGACTCCTATATTCTGCCAGCAAATCACAACCTCATGCAGAGACTTCTTGAAATAAAAGCCAGAGCTACTATTGCTCATTCCACTCCATTACATCATGAAGACATATACTTGTACAGAGTATCCAATGGTAAAGATTTTTTTTCCTGTGGAAATAAGCAAGGGAAAATCCCAAGGTGTATTGGAGTGGGTGTGGGTGTGGGTGAGCGCGCACACGCACGTGCGCATACACATGCATCCCTAACCATAAGTGACCGAACTCAGAGCCTGGGTCCTACCCCTTAGCATTTGCACTCAAGGCTGGCACTCTACCACTTGAGCCACAAACTCCACTTCCACCTTTTTGGTGAGTAATTGAAGATAAGTCTCACGGACCTTCCCCAGGCTGGCTTCACATGGTGAGGCTCAGATCTCACAGTACTGATGGATCTTCAATGTTGAATAAGTAACAAATGATTTTCCAGAAGTGTCAGCAGATATTTACTAGGCACCTATGCAACCTAATCTTGAGTTAAAAAAGAAAATTACCTCTGAGCCGATTGCTGGTAGCTCACACCTGTCATCCTAATTACTCAGGAGGCTGAGATCTGAAGATTGCATGCAGTTCAAAGCCAGCCTGGACAGGAAAGTCCATGAGACTTTTGTCTCCAATAAATCAGAAAACCAGAAGTGGAGCTAGGGGCTCAAATGGTAGAGTACAAGCCTTGAGCAATAAAGCTCAGGAGTAGCACTCAGGCCCTGAGTTCAAGCCCAGGACTGGCACCAAAAAAAAAAAATACCTCTGAGATATTTTTCTTGTTCATTAGAATTATGAATTGTGTATATTGTTTCTTACTAATTAACCATTAAATTGTTTCCAACTATTGCTATCTCAATAGTTCACCGGACCAAGTCATTGTTTAGTCTTCTTGTCTTGCTCTATAATTCCCAGAAGAGTATGTACAATATATTTAGTTAATTATACTTATGTTTTCTGTCTTCAAACCCTTCTATCATTGTCTTGTCATTGATTTCTCAAGTGGCTTTTTTTTTTGGTTGGTTGTGGGGCTTGAACTCTGGGCCTGAGCGCTGTCCCTCAGCTCTTCAGCTCAAGGCTAGCACTCTACCACTTGAGCTACAGTGCCACTTCCAGTTTTCTGGTGGTTTAATGGAGATAAGAGTTTCACGGACTTTCTTGCCCCGGCTGGCTTTGAACCACGATCCTCAGATCTCAGCCTCCTGAGTAGCTAAGATTACAGGCATGAGCCACCGGCGCCGAGCATCAAGTGGCTTTTTTTAAAGTGTGTTAAAAACTGCCCCTGAATTGAGGTTTGAACTCAGAGTCTTGAGCTGGTTAAACAGGAGCTCTACCACTTGAGCCAAGCTTCCTGTGAAGTTTAAAACCAAATATGATTTGAAAATAGATACTTATGTCTTCTATTCTGAGTGAGCATCAGTCATTACCTTTGGAAGAAAATGAAGCACTTGAGCAATAATCAAGTGTGTAATATAAGTAGAAAACAACCCAATTCCCTTCTGTTAAGGAGAGTTTTAAGTCATTTTACGCATAGTAAATATATTATGGAAGACTAGCTTGTAATAACATCCAACTTATACTTCCTAGGTACTATAAAGGATTTAGTATTTGGGCTTCTGTTCAATAGCCCGTATGATTTTCTTTTTGCTTCAAAAGTGAATAATTAGTTATTCTGATGATGTTACTTGTTGAGAAGTAGTGGAATTTTACTTGTTATTTAACAACTCAACGCAGCATTATTACATCTTCTGTCATGAAATATTTGCTTTTAGAACTTTTTTCCCCTTAAAATGGCAACCAGATTAACAGAGAGCTAAGACTTTCCAAACTTCAGACTTTTCCATAAATGGTTGTTTGGAGAACTATTTATTTTGAGTTTTTTACTCCTTTGGTTCTTCCAAAGAATGACATTTCAAGCCCCGCCCCTCCCGAAAACAGAAAGTAATTTAACATTTGTCCTAATTTAAGGGTTTCTCCTCTTCAAAAATCTGAAGTCGTGGAGATGGTTAAGAAGCAAGTCAATGTGATAACTCTTGCAATTGGAGATGGCGCCAATGACGTCAGCATGATTCAAACGGCCCATGTGGGTGTGGGAATAAGTGGCAATGAAGGCTTGCAAGCAGCCAATTCTTCGGATTATTCCATAGCCCAGGTAAAGCATCCTTGTTGTGAATCACTGCCATTCCTCCTAACCAGCTAGCTCTGTGAGGAGGGACAAATACTAACGTTTCTCACTCTTCTTGCAGTTCAAGTATTTGAAGAATTTGTTGATGGTTCATGGTGCCTGGAACTATAACAGAGTCTCTAAGTGTATTCTGTATTGCTTCTACAAGAACATAGTCCTCTACATCATTGAGGTAACAGCAGGTTAAACTTAAAATCCTTGTCACTTATATCCATAATGTTACTTATCAAGGCCTTATTTTCTCATTATTTTCATTAATATTTAATTTGCTCACTTTCTTTTCTAAGTGTGTTCAAATAAATAATAAAAAGATTGTCAGCTATGAAAAATAATTCATATTCAATTGGCTAAAAAGAAATGAAAAAACATTGTAATACTTGGGTGGAAATTAGACTTGTGAATGAGGTAAAGTTTTCAGTTTTCAAAGAAACTATAAGGTAATTTGTTTTGTTTTGGGTTTTTTGTTCTTTGTTTTTGTTTTGTTGGCCAGTCCTGGAGCTTGAACTCGGCCTGAGCACTCTCCTTAAGCTTTTGTGCACAAGACTAGTGCTCTCCTATTTGAGCCACAGCTCCACTTCCAGGATTTTGTGGTTAATAGTCTCATGGACTTTTCCTGTCGTGGCTGGCTGAGTAGATAGGATTACAGGCATGAGCCACCAGTGCCTGGCTCACTGTAAAAGCAGTGCTGCCATTTGTAAAGCTCAAAAATGTATCAAAGGCCACTGTACACTATGGAGGATAGTATACATATGGACAATTCTAGGTACAAAAAAAAAATGAATGGTTCCAACCACACAAAAAAAAAAGAAAGAAAATTTAAAAAAGAAAAGTTGGAGGATAACAAAACTGAGGATAAGAGTTCTAATTCTAGGAGAGGCAAATAAGTAAAATCAGGGAAAAACATAACAATAGCTTTGCCAGTGTTGATTTTGTCCAGTAGTAATTTTTTCAAAACTCAGACCTTCGTTATATACAGCTATCCCTTGCTATCCAGATCTGCTCAGGTTTCCTGAGTTTTGTTAAGTATGAGTAAAGTAAGTTAGTAAGAGTTCAGATAATAAGCATTTGTCTAAAAAAAAAAAAACCTCCAGAATATTCAATTCCTTTGTCTAGCTAGCCAAAGAATTTCATAATCCTTTCATGGAACAATTTTAGCATCATTGTAAAAATGAAATTTAAGTCAGCAATACCACTCCTTAAAAAGATGTATGTTACCTTCCAAATATTTTGGGTACACCTACCCCATGCCAAGCACCAAGCATAGTCCAGCAGCTATGAAGTAAGTCAAGTACGATCCTGCCCTCCCAGAGCCAACCAATTGGATGGCAATGGAAGCCACATGTGTAATTCTAAATCTCCTAGGAAGCTGCATTAAATGCTAAAGCTAAAACCCAGAATGATTTTAATACCCTGCTCTAACTCAATTTTATTCAAATTATTATAATTTTTAACATGGAAAAAATTAATAATTTTTATATCCTACACACTTTTCTCCATACTAAGCGTCCAACATCTGGTGTGTATTTTGCATCCATAACACATCTCAGTTTGAATTAGGTGCCTTTCGAGTGCTCTAGAGCCCATGTGGCCAGCAGCTACTACACTGAACAGTATAACCCAATGGATAAATATGTGATGGTTGTAACTGGCGGTTACTCTGGAAGTGATAAATACACAATTTGCTTTTGTTTTAACATTTGGCCTTTGAATCATCAGAAGCTCTATTACAGTAATGAAACCCCATGTGGGATCAGTTTCACTGTAGCTCTGTGGAACATAGCAAGGAATCCCAAGAGCTTGAGAACCCCCACCCCCACCCCCATGCTCATGAATCTGCCAAGGGCTCTCTTATAGATCTCTGTGCTTCTTTGCCCTCTATTCCTATCTACTCATCTGTTAGGAGAGACATAACCTGACCATTTGCTGTATGGATCCCATATTTTACACCAGAGGAAAAAATCATCAGATTCCACAGCTATCCTGTTACTTGGAAATTACTAGAGGCTTGGCTTATCAGTTTTTGTTCTCACAGAGTGCCTGTCTCCTTATTAAAGTGTTGACTAAGCATAGGACTTCTTTGAGTCATTTTAGTAATATTAAAACTTAATTTTGATATACTAAAATAGAATCATGAAAGTATCCATAGGTTATAACCCACTAGATAAAAATGACCAAACACAAGCCAGATAGAGTGCCACACACCTCCAACCCCAGTACCACGGAAGATAAAGCATGAGTTTGAGGCCAGCCTGGCCTACATAGTGAGACCCTGTCTCAAAAGTCCAAAAACTAATTCACAACCGAATATTGGCAACATAAGCAAGATACTTTATGAACTTGCTGATTGTTCATTTTGGTGAAATTTGATCTGTCATAATCTGTGCTTTAAAGCAAAATGCATCTCCAAAATAGTTTATGAGATTAAAAAAATCTGTTTTATGTATAAGTTTGTGATTATTTTCTGAAATAATTGGAATGGAATTTTGACTTCTGTTCTCCTCTATATATCTAACTTTTGTCAAAACACTGACATTCAAAGGGTATTATATGATTTATTTACATAGAGTTTTGAAGACTTTTAAACCAAGAGTTGAGAGCCACTGCCAGCAATAAATCTGCTTACAAAAAATTAATTTGACAAAATGACTTAAGTTAAGATTATAAATCTTGATTGACAGGTGCTTTTTAAATCAAGATTAACTGACAATCAACAATGAAGTGGACAAAATTTACGTATAAACAGGAGAAGTAAAATGTACTAAACTCAAAAGAAAACTAAAGCTGCACACTCTATTTCAAGCCCAAAGTTATGTGACTTGTGGTTGATTAACCCTAAGTTTCGCTTAGCTTTGAATTTAAAGCCTCTTCATGAGATATTTAACACTGATCACATTCTTCACACATTGAAAAGGAAGTGAGTTCTAAATTTTACTGGAAATCTCATCTTTATTTTCTTTTAGCACTTTATGGAAATGTATTTTGAATATAATTCAACTGTCTTGGAAATGAATCGACTTTTAAAGCAGTTCCCAAACACCCAACTTTTGCCAGCTAAAACAAGTTCTGCAGATGTTAATGGCTCATGTCAATACTATGAATGAATAGACAGAAAACACATCGCTGAATGTCCCTAGTGAGGACAACTGCCAGTCTCCAATCTCTCCTTTCAGTTTTTTGTGCTGGTCAGGCGTGGGAGCAGAGAACTCATTGAGTATTTGTAAGCTGCTGTTTAATATGCAGAAATGCTGCATCAGGAAAATGCCTGCGGTGCCTTAGCTGCCACGCCTCTTCAGAGATGTAGAATATGGAAATAATTCCAGAAAAGCGGGTCTGGGGTTGCTTTGCTAATAAAGGAACCATCTTGAGTACTATGGGTTTTGTAGACTTTCTGCAAAAACTGTTTTACCGTTGTTTCAGTGCCAGGAATATCACCATCTAGCTGCTCGATTGCTATAAATGATCCCAGCCTAACAAATAGATTCAACAAGAGGCTGGTATTGAGCTGTTACTTCGAAAGCTGTCTGGGGGTGAGATTTGGTGGGGTTTTGTTTGTTTGTTTGTTTCTTAAATTATTGACTTCTTCGAAAGAGGTTTTTCCCCCCTCTCTGAAACTTGTGACTTCTTAGCAAAATAAGACCTTTTCCTTCAAATGATTGGTTGTATACAGGCTCCCTGGTAAGCTATTTAGAACAGTATTTCTAATTTCCAGAAGTGTTAATTAAAAGTCGGTAAGGTGATGATTTCTCAGCAAGTTGTGCTGAGAAACAGATTCCCTGTGGATCTAAATAATGTAGATACCTCCTCAGGGGCCTGGCACTTTCCTTCTACGGCTATAGTTCATATGTGTATGGTAATTCAAGTGTTGTTTTACTGAGCATGAGATATGTTCCTAATCTACCACTTCACTGCAAACCACAGACACACATGAAAAACAGACCTCTGGTGGACTGCATCCCTGTAAGCCATCTTCTCTTTATCCTTTAAAATAAGTAGGACTGGGCTGTAGCTCAGGGGCAAAGCACTTGTCTAACAAGTGCAATCTCCTAGGTTCGATCTCCAATACAAAAAAAAAAAAAGAAAAAGAAAAAACAGATTAAAAAAATAAATAAACTCATTGATCAAGATGTGGTATATTCATAAATTGTTGGGTTGAATTGTAACTGCTTTGTAGAACTATTTAAAGATAGAATTTAAAAATTAAAATAAGCACACAAATAATAAATAAAATAGGTAAATGTGTATGCCAGCATATACGTGTGAAGATCTAGATACTGTATTAAAAGGTTCTGTTCTCACTTAGACAGCTCTACCTCCTTTGAAAAAAAAAAGAAATTAGAATGCGATCTTTTAATAATACAGAAAGTAAATTTCTAAAAACATTATGTTCATCTACTAACTACTAAGAAAAATGAGATGATAAAACAGTTCTTCACAAAAAAAAATTTTGCCATACACCGCAAATGCATACTTTTGGTTTATTTGCAAGTTGTTTTAGATTTGAAACTTTCTGCAAATAGTCATTGATTTGAGGGGAGGGTCTAAAATTTTAAGTTCATAGTAACCTTTGAATCCAGCATCAAATGTTATGTATAAAGAACCGAAAGAGGTACTCACATTGACAAATGTTTGCCTACCGTGCACAAATTTATTACTATGACCTTCTTATAATACATAGAATTGATGACTACAAATACATTTAAAACTATAACTTTTGAGCTAGATCATATCCATTAGATGAATTAAATGTACAGAAAGCCTTTCTGAAGACCAACAGGCTGAGCTGGGCTTCTTAGCAAAAACACCAGTGAAAGTCTGGGTTTTAAAATCCTTTGTATTTCCATCATACACAAAATTCTAAAAAATACATAGAGCCATCAGCTGGAGTCTGTTTTATCTAATTGTATGTAGTTATGAGGAAAAAAACAAGATTGTAGTGTGTTTAGATTTTAATGTTTACACATATGAATGATCTGGCTCCTTGTCTTAAGGAAAATGTCCCAGGTTTTTCTGCAAATCCTTTAGCAAAGCAACTATTTGACTCCTATCTCTTTGCTTTTGTTACCATCATTTGTCTGTTACAATCTTAACACAATCTGAACTTCTTTTCATGTGTTATCACTTCTTTGTTTTTTTTTCCATCTCATATAGCAGATGTTTATTTTCATACACACTCATCCATTTTTCCCCATTATAAAAGGGAAGAAGATCATTGATGAGTACATAAACTGTTTGTGGAAGGGCCAACCTGGGTACATATTGGTAAATGGTGAATTTGTGGCAGTACATGTTTCCGTAATGAGATTAAATGAAACACGAAGTGTAGCCTAGTCCCTGTGACACTTACTCTAATTCCTCTAGGCCCATGTTCAGTACCACTTTGTTGGGACAGTTTTGTAGTTGTGTTGTACTTGTATTTATGTAATCTCATTGCTCCTCTCACCTTTTTCTCTCCCAGGCCAACTTGATTTTTTAAAATAATAATATAGCTATTACTGACTTACTAGACGTCACTTTAATTTTTTGTATGTTATAAACATGTTGGAGAAAATGTTTATATTACTCAAATTTTGTTTCTACACTTTCTGTTTTAAAGAGAATTTTAAAAATATCTGATAACTTTAGGTTCTAGTAGCTGAGGGTTAGATTTTTTATCATAGCTTAAAACTTAGGTTAAAAATATTTTATTAAAAGGAGGAAGTAACAATGCTTGATAGGAAATGTACTCGTTATCTTGCTCATGTAACTGTACCCCCTCTGTACAGTATTTACAATAAAAATGTGTAAAATAGAAATAAAATAAAATATGCTCAGTTAGGAAAAAATACTTTATTAAGTAGAATACAGTCGAGAATTCATTGTTTAGACCACAAAACTAAGAAAAGTAAGGGAAGATATGGGTTGAAGAAAGGTTAGAATGATAAAGGAGGTAACACTGATCAAGATACATTGTATTCATAAACTTTTTTGTTACATGGTACCTCATTTGTACATCTACTTAAAGATAATACATTTTTAATTAATATATAAATTCACATGACTAAAAACTATTAAAAAGAGAACAACTTTTATACATTGACCAATTAATTCTACCTCAAGAATTCATCCTAAGAAAGAAAAAGAGATATGTAGTCCAGAATCAATTCTAATAGCCAAAAAAAAAAAAAATTCTATAAGCAAGCTAAATGTCCAAAACAATAGTATCTACACTGTAGAAATTCTGCATCCATCAACAGCACCTTAAAGGACATGTAACAGCAAAGACATGTTTTGTAATGTTAAGGAACAGGAGTAGGATGTGACAATATATCCTGTAAGTTCCAAATAAAGTAAAATTTTGAATGTGCTTAACCAGCTATGTGGGTACATCCAATCTGGAAGAAAATAGTGACTCTCTTACTATGAAAAAGTATTTTATAAGTGTCACTTCTATAATAAAAGTGATCTTTAAGCAGCTAATCCTAATATTTTCAAAAGGAATTAAAACTGCAAAAATCAAATGATATTTAAATATATTCTGGTTTTAGAAACAAGACTGCATCTACTTGTTTTAATCTAGGGTTTCTTGTTCACTGTAGTTCTTTTTTTTATAATTGGACAGGTAGAACAAATTTTTACTTAAACAGGAAATACCTTATAAAAGTATAGAATGCCATTTTTGTACAGCAAATGAATGCCATTTTTTACGAGTATCCTGAAAACAATTATGTTGATGCTGCTGCTTTTTGTTGTGCTTTGTTTTTAAGTAGCATTTACAACAGATTTGAAGCCATGCATTGATGTTTTTGTGTTCTAATTTTGTGGGTGATTTTCTTCCTAGATCTGGTTTGCCTTTGTCAATGGCTTTTCTGGACAGATCCTCTTTGAAAGATGGTGTATAGGTCTTTATAATGTGGTAAGTTTAGCATAATTGATCATTTCTACTTTATTTAATATTCTGAAATAAAGATTTGCCTGGCATTTGGCTGCTTGGGATAATGACCAGTTTGTTATTTTAGATGTTTACGGCTATGCCTCCTTTAACTCTTGGAATATTTGAGAGATCATGCCGAAAAGAGAATATGCTGAAGTATCCTGAACTATACAAAACATCTCAGAATGCTCTGGACTTCAACACCAAGGTAAGAACTGTGTCTGAGCACAAAGTCATTCTGCCAGATTTATTGCTGTTCCTATGTGGGGGCATCTCCAAAGCCAAGGAGAGTCCAGCTTGGCACAGCTGCAGAATGGACAGCATAGCAAGCCCCTGTTCTAAAGGTTCTGCTACGTCAGGAAAAGGTGTTTTGTAATTAGGTTGTGTCGGTTTATATTATCAAACTAAAGAGAAACCTCTGTCCACTGGAGTTTTTGAGCAGCAGAAAGCTGGTAAAGCAGACAGAAGCCACTGTCCTTTGGTCCTCTGGCTGTCCATTTCTCTCCATTTCTTCTAGCCAGGCTCAAGTCGCCTAAGACACAAAGGCTGGCTTTACAGGTATAAAGGGGCGAGAAGTTTATATCATTCCTGGCCAATTTCCTATTTCCTCAGATAACTTTGTCCTCATTAGAATTTTAGATCAATTGTGTCAGACATTAAAATTCTAGTCTCTGGGAAGTAACTTACCATATAATCATCGTACTCAGTTTTTCCAAGTCTTAAAATTAAAAATACATAAAATTTCCAGCATTTTCTCTGAAATCAAGTCTGGGCTTATATTCTATGTAAGTCATAGGCTATCATCATCTGCGATGATCCATGTATTGATTCACTCCAGTGATGAAAAGTATCTGATTTTCTTCGTACTTTCCTGCAAGTGTAGAACCTAAAATGTTTTCATTGATATTTGAGGGAATAATTCAGGCCTCTTTTTAGTGCAGATCAAGAGGGAAAGTTTTCTTTTCCCCCATGTATTTTTATTGTTGTTATAAAGGAGGGGCTACAGATACATATATCAGGTAAAGAGTACATTTCTTTTTCAATAATGTCACCCCTTCCTTCTCTCCCTCCCAGTTTTTCCCTTCCATCCCCACCCACAAGTTGTATACTTCATTTTCAACATAATGTCTAGTGAGTACCACTACTGCATTTGTCCCACCATTTCTGTGCCCCCCTTACCCCCCCCCCAAAGACAGATAAATGAACAAACAAAAGGAAAAGCAAACAAAAATAGCAACAAAGGAAACTTCTCTCATTTCTGTTTCCTGGAGATCATTTCAATAAATATTATTGTATATGATCAGATGCACATAGGTATTTCTCCTTTGTGTTCCTCTCCTAAGACTATCCAAAGAAAAGTTTGAATAATTTTTTTTAAAGAATCCAGGTAGATGCTATTTTTAAATGAACATTCAGGTACTTGACTGGTAGTATCATATAGCAAATATGTCATCACCAAATTGTTTCCCTTTGATATAGGGCATGTTTATTAGCATATTTCTGATGAGAACATGTAACCTTGACTACATGTAACATTAATTCAGAGTCTTGAATTTAGGAGTTAATATTTTAATATTAGTTTTAATATTAGGAAACTTTTAATATTAGTTCATGAAGCTCTCCAGTAACATTTATTCTCAGTATACCTAGAATACCAGTGAAACAGGTATTCCATGACCTCCCATGATAAATGATACTAAAGAATTCAGAGCTAAGAAGTCATTCTTCAGAGACTCAATCTCCATGAACAGCCAGCTATAGGCACACATGTAACTCCGTGCCTTCATTTGGCTAATTAAAATAACAAACACACTGAAGAGTTCTTTAGCTTATTTATAACACTGGTTCTGAACAGGACTCTTTTTTTATAACCTGTAACAATTTATAATATCAGTGACTAAGCAAGTATTTGTAATAAGATTTGGGGGGAGGGAACTTTAAAATTTATTTAAGATGCCCAGATTATATGGAGTCCAATCACATGGTTGTAATGCTTTTAATTGCCTGGGGCAGTCAGGTTCCAATGATGGAAAACTGTAGTTGAGGGAATTAAATACGTGTGATCTGGAAGCTAAGAAAGCCCAGGCCTTCTTAAATAGGAGGATTATTGTAGACCAGCAATAAGTCTTACCAGCCTAGACAGTTGTATGTATCTCGGCCATAAGTTTTCTCTATATAGTTCAGGCTCTGTGATGCGATCTCAGGAGTTAACTTCCCAGCCACATACTGGGCCATGTCACTCTGCCTTAAAAATGTGAATCAATCCTATTTCTTCAGCATCAGATCCTTTCATGACCTTTGTACATAACAACTGGACCCAGTTTTGTGGCCAGGAAAGGGGCAGAACAGGTAGTATATAGTTTCAATATGGAAGCATTACTTCCTATATCATTTGTTGTTGAAAACCTATGTGATTATCCATATATCCCAGGCATTTATTGAGAAAAGTCTCGAGATCACTTTAAATGGATTGTACAAATTCCATATCTACCTGAATACTCAGAGCTCTTAAAATGCAAGTTGCCAGACATTTTTGTAGGGCTTATTGATTTCTCTAATGATTTCACTGAAACTTTTTTGACTGCAGTCATGGAAGTGTTTTAAAATTCAGGGACAAGTGGCTACAAAATGCATAGCTGTGTCCACAGCGGTTGCTGTGGGTCCCAAGCAGAGAAGCATTGTATCCTTGAATGATGATGCTTAACATTTGTTATGGTAAAAAGGGTCAGAGGTTCTGAGGTCCTGACAGAGGTTAAAGGATTAGCATGTGACAATAAGTATTGGTCAGGAAAATGGAAAAGTAGAACTAATTTTTCTTGCACCCACCTGTGCTTTCTGTCAAATAAAAACTTGGGGAAATGACATAGCGAGGAGAAGCGACAAAGGTTAATGAGTAACACAAGTTCAAATGTGTAATGTATTGGAGCGTAAATTGGATCATACAACCCAGTGTGGCCGTATGAACTAACAAAGGAGATTGAGATCACAGTGGAAAATTTTGCGAGGCAGGCAACTTAATTTCTGTTGTTTGAACAGCTTAAAACTATTAATACGTGCCAATTTCATTTAGCCTGAGTTTTGTTTGCAAGACGCACATCTACACGACAAAACTACAACTGTGCTGGCGGTCCTGCCTGAGAATTCTGAATAGTTTCCTATAACTTAATCTCTCACATCCAGGATACAAAGAAAGTACCAGTGATCCTTGCTCTCTTGTTCTTAAAATGCAACTGACATTAAAAAGTACTAGCTATTAAATGATGTTGTAATGATGTGACATTTGGTGTTGACCAGTTGGTATTGAAGTATTGATAAATTCAATGTTAGGCACAGCATTTTAATGCTTATGTGATTTAACTGTTATATCTACTATTTAAAAATAATATATATGCCCTTGTATGTTTCTAAAGCATGAGAGAAAGAAAGCACCAAAACTTGTTACCATTGAAAAAGTCACAGTTGTACTGCACATGGAGGAAAAAAAAAAAAAAAGATTTCACCCAAATTACAGTCTTCTTAAAAGTCTGTTTTTCTGGAAATAAGAAAATAGTTCCAACAATTTTAGGATCCTGCATTTATTGTAAATTTTGTTTTATTTTTTTTTCAAGCAGAAATGGAAACGTCTGTTACTTTGGCTTTTAAAATGTAGGAAAAGAAAGTTCAAGTGAAGCTGAGAAAAACATTTTGAGAAACATAAAAATAAATAAATGACCCATGAAAGTCTAAGAGGCAGAAAAGTGTCTGTCAGTTCTATTAATTCACAGTGGTGGCCTGACAGAAACACATTTTGTGCATCTAGCTTATAGATAAAAAGAAAGGTCAGAGTTCACAGAACTAGTTTATCGCAAATGGTTCTCATGGATTTTTGTTTTCCCCCAGGTTTTCTGGGTTCATTGTTTAAATGGCCTCTTCCACTCAGTTATTCTATTTTGGTTTCCACTAAAAGCCCTGCAGTATGGTAAGTAGAAAGGATATGAATACTATGAGATGACTTTTTGCTTTCTTTATTTTAAGTAAAGTAACTCATTATCATTATATGTTAAAGTTATAGCAGTGTTTCATTTTATGGTATTTTCCTTAACTTAATCTGCACACATCCAAAGTTGTGCACACTTTAAAGATTTTTTTTTATTATTCCCGTGGGAGCAAAGTGATTTAATGTATGCAAAGCCTTTCTTCTTTACTTCTCATGGTTTCCAAACTTGCAGAGAGTTAAATTTTAGGACTCTGTTTCTCCCCTCAGTTGATGCAGAGTGTAAAGACAATAAGTGCTAATATTTTATGTAGTCTATTTATTATACCTATGAGACTGTAACAAGCACTTTATACTGAGCCTAATCAGACATGCGAGTATTTTTCAAATGGCTTTTGAGCTGACGTTTGGGATGAACTTTTTTTTTAATATGTTTTTTATGGTCATCTTGGAGTGGAAGCTTTTTTTCTCTGTTTATTTCAAGACAGTGATTTTATTCTTTCGGTTCTGGAGATAGCATCATGGTGTCCTTCCTACACGCATAAATATGATGAAGTAACCTCTGGGGAAGAGAGCCTTGTTACTCTCAGGCTGGTGTTTCTATGTCCCAGAGCAAGTCTAGTCCTGAGATGCTGGGGTAGACAGACAGCCATTCTGTGCCTAGGCTCCAGACTGAAATACAAAGTAAAAAGATGGTGCATTCTCCACCCAAGGGCATGTCAGTTCTTCCTAAATTCTGGCACTTCTTGTCTCTGACTTTACAGTTGCCAATAACACCACATATGCCAGTTGCTCACTCCTGTAATCCTAGTTACTCAGGATACTGAGATCTGAGGATCTTGGTTCAAAGCCAGCCCAAGCAGGAAAGTACATGAGATTCTTATCTCCATAAACTACTCAGAAAAAGCTGGAAGAGGTGCTGTGGCTGAAATGATAGTGAGCCTTGAGGCTCAGGGACAGCACCCAGGCCCTAAGTTCAAGCCTCAGAACCACCAAAAAAAAGAAAGAAAGAAAAAGGATAGCATACAGCTTGCCCTTCCCTGGCTATGGCTTGTTCTCCATGGGAAATTGGAATGATGCTTATACACTGTGAACCAAATCATGTTACCATGCTTAAAACAGTATCCTTCACCTCCATACTCCCCACACTTCCCCAGATAGGTGAGCAGGCCCTTCCCATCCTCCTTGAGGGTGTGCTGAGAGGCCCTGCCAGATCACCTGGCCAAAAGAGCTTCCAACACCCTACACCTCTATATTTCTTCAGAGGCATGTGCAATATGTTGATCTCTTTTGTATCACCTTTCTCCTCTGTTTGAGTCAAAGTTTCAGTAGATTAGAGAACTCATTTGTTTTTGCTCTGCTTAGAACTGTGCCTAACTTCTAACAGGCCCCTGAAAACTGTGAATAGATCAGCGGAAGTATACTACATGAGTCAGTGTTATACCAAAGGTAATATATGCAGGGCCTTGCAGAAATTTTAGTCTCCTTCCTTTATCAGTGTTCAGAAAGTTATGACCATAAATACTTCTCACTTTCCAGGTGATCGGAATTAGTGGAATTAGTTTGTTTTTGAGATATACTATACTGTAAATTTTAAAGTACAACTCAGTGGGGTTTTTTGGTATATTCATGCTTGAAACTATGCCAAGTATCACCAACATCAAATGCTAAAATATTTCACCATCCCATAAAGAAACCCCAAACCCATTAGCAATTGCTCCCTGTTTCTAAACACCCTTTCCCTGCAGTCTCTTTGTAACCACTATTTTTTCTCTCTGTAGACTTGCCTATTCTGGACAGTCATATAAATGGAATTGTATAAGTGATCTTAGTTCGTGTACTTGGCAGCATGAATCAGTATATCATTCCTTTGTCTAACTATATAATATTAATGTCCAGTATATGTAAATATTAGATAAGTTCTCTAGGTCAAGCTAATTTTCAAAATGCAACATCAATATAAGTAAGAAAGACAGAACACGTCCTGTCTATTAAATTGCTGTTTCAGCATCCTAAAAAAGAAATATAATCTCGAAAGTAGCTCAGACTGTGTAGCCAGCAATATACCTTAGCACTGACAGTATTTGAAAGGATGACTTACCCTTCTGAAGAGCAGATACTAGATCACCCCAGGCCTTTTTCTGAGAAATGGCTCAAGTTATCCAGTTTCAATTCATGTTCTTTATAAAGGCTGCTACCGATGAAGACCAAATGCAACAAAATCTAGAAGTTATTTGATAATTTTCCTCAGAAGGTGAGGAAAACTACTGTACTTTATGTTCTACCATTTTGATATGAAAGGGATTTGTAATTGTCTTACTTTATTGTTTACCATGCTATATTTGAACCCACTTTGACCTTGCCAACTAGACTTTCAATAAATGTCCCTAAACAGATACATCAATATTATTGCATATTACATATTACAGTGTCATGGGTTTAAATTTTTTCTATAACACCAATGATTTCGTTATTTGATCATGTTTTTATACTGACTCAATTTTTTTACCAGTAATAATTTTTCTTTGTTGGCTGTTAAGTTATTGCCAGAATAACAAAGGTTTTTTAAGTGTCCCTAAATTGAGCCAAACCCTCAAAGGATTGTGTGCCTAGAATCCAACTGGTGCTCCTGAACCTTTCTGAGTTGCTTACTGTGAATCCTAGTGAAAGATAATAAATAGATAGCAAGACAAGTCCTCAGACCCTGGTCATGTTGAGGGTCAAGATGCAGAAGGCTTTCTAAGATCTCAATGCCCATAATGACTAGTTTGATTTGTTTTTCATATTTTTACTTTCTTTTATCTTATGGACTCTGAAAATTGGTCTGCAGTATAGAATTTCTGCTTCCTATTTGCTCTTGGAAATTTGTTTTTAATTTGTGTCCCATCTATAGCAATATTATGAGACTTGTTAAGTATGGAATCTGGATTTGTTGTTGTTGTATGGGGTTTTTTTTATCTCTTTTCTGACTTTACTGTGTGTCTTGTGGTTCTTCTTTTGTTCAGAATTTAATTTATTTATCTTTCCTGGACCTTCTTTACTTTTTCACTACTTTTTCTCTTCTTTTCTTTCAGGTACTGTGTTTGGAAATGGGAAAACATCTGACTACCTGCTTCTGGGAAACTTTGTGTACACTGTGAGTGCAGGATTTGTGCTTGTTCACATACAGAACCCAAACCTTTTTGTCTGTGATTTTCAGATTTAAATATGTGACACCAGCCCTGGTAGTGCAGGCCTATAATCCCCACTATTCAGCAGCTATAGGTAGAAGGATCAAATGTAATACAAGCTGGGCACTGATGGCTCATGTCTGTAATCCTAGCTACTCAGGAGGCTAAGATCTGAGAATCTTCAAAGCCAACCTGAGCAGGAAAGCCTGTGAAACTCTTATCTCCAGTTAACCACCAGAAAACTGGAAATGGAGTTGTGGCTCAGAAGTAGAGCACTAGCCTTGAGCAAAAAAGCTCAGAGATAGCACCTAGGTCCTGAGTTCAAGCCCCACAACTCCCAACAAAATGTAAGACCAGCCCAAGCAAAAGGCATGAGAAGACCTTATCTGAAAAAAATCAGGCTTGAAGGTACAGCTCAATTGGCAGCTCACCTGACAAGCAAATGCACAGTCCCAAGTTCAAATCCTAGTACTCTCTCAAAAAAAGTAAATTTAAATGTGAGCATTTCTGGATTATATACGGTTGCATTATCTTTGTTCATTTGGAGGTTTGGTGTGTTGGTTTGGTCTTTCACGATAGAATCACCTGTGTAACCCAGACTGGCCCTATCATTAGCGATCCTCTGGCCTCATCCTCCAGAATGTCCATCACCATGCCCATCCTATACAAGGCCCTTAGTTAAGCCTTTCTTCCTCTCTAGAAATGTCCTCACAGTGGCACCCAAGGTGCTTCTCAGTCAATTGACAGTCAAGGTAAGCAGTAGGTAAGCTTTATCAGTCCCAGGTTTGAGATGAAGAAGCTGAGACACACACAGAGGAGGTAACTTGTCTTGTTCATTAACCAAAGCAGTTGTGTAGGTAGGTGACGTTATCTTGGATACAGAAAGCCTGATTCCAGACAGGGCATTTGCAATAAGAAGCACAGAATAGTCAATATGCTATTGTTTCACTTTTAGACTTTATTTTTAAAGTTCAAGAAATTAAGACTTCAGTGTGAAAGGTGGTTTTAAATTAGGTTAAAGGAAGCTTGAAAATACAAGGTAGCGTAAGCATGTGCTTTTGGTCACTATTTGTACAGATGCAGGCAAACACATCCTCAGAGCCTTGCCCGTGGCCTGTGAGGCTGGGATCATGAGCAGGCAGGAAGGGCAGCAGGAGGAATATTCTGTGCCAGCTGTGATCAGCTACATCCTGATGTGGCCACCTGCCTTATTCATTCATTGCTTCTCTTGTTGGGCATAAAAAGCAAGCAGCGAATAATCCAGTATTCCCATGGTCAATTCAACACTGTTCTTTCGAAGTCTCCCTCTTGATCATTTTATCAGCCATCACATTTATGAAACAAATAATATTTCTCCTTTCTGTTTCAGTTTGTAGTGATAACTGTGTGCTTGAAAGCTGGATTGGAAACTTCATATTGGACATGGGTAAGATTATCTCTAGTGACAACCAAGAATTGTCCCATTTGTCTACATGTTCTCTCCAATTTTTTGGTTATTTTCCACTTTAACTTGGTGTCTTCCTTTATCCCAGCCCACAGGTTGGTAATTGTGGAGTGTTAGGGGGTGGAGGAAAGAGAACTGGGGATTCCAGTTTGGAAACATTGTTAAGCCAGCAAGTCTTATTATCACAAGATTTCACATAGCCTTATATAAATATATATATATGTATGTATATGTGTATGTATATGTATACATACATTCTCTATTTTAAGTTTTATATATTGTGACTTTGGAAACGATTTTCACTTATATACCTATTCTTAGACATACCACAAGATTGGTGTTCTATAGACAACCTATGAGAAAACAATGTTGAAGGCCAGTAGTGTTCCTGAAAGATTTGTCCTCAGATATGTATGAATACTCAATCTGTATAAAACAGCTTCTATTGCAGCATAGCCACATCCACGTAGAGAAAGCTAGTTAAAACAAAAGAATGAAAATAAAGCTTGATGGTGGGTAATAGAGAAAGCTAGTTAAAACAAAAGAATGAAAATAAAGCTTGATGGTGGGTAAGACTGATATAAGAAATTTGGATGTGACTATCATGGGCATCGCGGTTACTATGTCTAGCATCTCTGAGTGAGAGCATGTACAACAAAACTAAAGGAGACTGAAAGATACTAATACATTTTTAAGCAAAAGTAATAGTAAGAGGAACGATTCACCATGAGCAGCGAGTTCTAAATTCTATCCTCAGACATTCTGACTGTTGTAGAAGAAATGAGCACTCAACTCAAGAACCAGTGAAACAGGTGCACACATGCAATCGCGTAGCAATGCCCATGGCCCAGAGTTCTGTGCATGTAATAAAAATAAGTAAATGCATTTGTGAAGGTTTCATTAGTGTTTGTGTAATGTTGTTACTTGGATTTCCTTCTTCACAGTTCAGCCACATAGCAATATGGGGCAGCATTGCGCTCTGGGTGGTGTTTTTCGGAATCTACTCATCTCTGTGGCCTGCTGTTCCCATGGCTCCCGATATGTCTGGAGAGGTAACTATGCTAATAACTCATGATCCAACCAAATCTTAAAAATTGGATCCTCCTTAAGAAGCCTTCCTTGTTTAGTGTGGTTTTCCATTTTGTTGATTTATCTTCAAATGGCATTTGACCATTTAAAAGCTATTTTTAGATTCCACCAATGGGAGTGATAAATCTCCAAAGAATCTTTTTAAGTTGAACATTTCACTTAAAGCGGACTTATCCCTTCTTAAACATAGCTGGAACAATAAAATACGGTTGTCAGGAGCTTGAATTATCTAGGAATATCCATATAGAAGATGATGCCATGTTAAAATCAGACCATAAATCCACAAAGTATATTTTGGATAAGAAGTCTGGGGTTCTGTCCTTAAGACAGTCTATCATTTCTTCTGTTATCTCTTTTTCTAGAGAAAAGTCTGCTGTCGCTGAATTAAATGCACTTTCAGAGTTCTCTTAATGACATCGGTTAGGGACTCATTTTGAAAGAATTAGGGAATGAGACATTTCAGCCTTATCATAGTCCATTTTCAATTCTGTCTTTCAGTTTCTTGTTGCAGTGGTAGGAATTGAGTTATTAGGTGTTCGTGGGGGCAGAGTCAAAGATCTCCATTCCTTCAGAAGAAAGGCCAGCAGTAGGAGGGTTTATGATTTCAATTGCAGGAAATTTGACATAAAATGTATAAAAGAAAATGTGGAAAACATTTCAGGATTTCCTGTGACCTCACAGTAACTTGCAAATCAAGGTAACATGAGCCCTGTTGCAGTGCATTGTTTTACCACAGTCACATGAATGATTTCCAGTGGTTTCTATGTATTTCTTGCCCCTAAGTACTGCCTGAGAACCTTTCACTTTTGACAGTCTGGTTTATAGATCATTTTCATGAAATTTTATCTGACGGCATCCTGCCTTTTATAAATTAGCAGCATGCAGACACATTTTAAAAAAATTTTATGGTTAAATTTATTAGAGAGAGGCATTCTATACTATTACAGCAAAACCAGATGATTCAGAAACATACGTTTCCTTCTACCAAATGGAAAGGCATCTTTTGAAATGCATGCTACAAACCCTTGAAAACTTACAACACATATTTTAAGGGGAACAGAGAGAAAGCTGTGAATGCTTCGCCTTACAGCCCCAATTTCTGAGTCCATTTTTTTCTGAAAAAGAAGAGAAAGGTTACCTGTATATGTATAAGTTTGTATATATCTTGGCTGGTACCACGTGGGAAATCCAGTTCTATCTCTGTTTCTCATTGATGTGCTCTGACTGAATCTCCTTCTGTTCAAGGTCAATTCTAACCTATTATCTTTTCGATGAGACGTAAGTCTTTGCCTCAGTTTTTCTCATTTCTCATGTTTATCTTCTAAGTGAGTGACACAAAAGATTTAGAAACCTATATAGTTTAAGCAACTGTGACCACTAGATTTGATGACAAGAGTTGAGTTTTTGACCACCTACTTCTAGAACAAGTGTGAAGTTTGACTGGCTTGTTGCCAACCAAATATAATTCTACCCTTGCCTGCAGAATTCCCAGTATTACCCAAATGTAGAACTTAATATCGTCTCTTGAGACATGCGGTGATGCTGTGTTTAATTCACAGTGAAATGAATGTCAGTACTCTGCCACATTTTTGTTCACTCCATGGACAGTGGGGAGTGCTAACAGGGATCCGTTTCTGATTGTTTTAATACTATACTAATAATATTGTTTTAATATATGTATTAAAACACTTGGAATTTAAACACTTCGAATAAAGTGTTTAAATAGTAGGTACTTCATCTAAAATATAAAGAATGAATTAATTCAGCTGCAGGCTCTACTAGCTTGTCCAAAATGTAATGCTACTTTAAGGAATTCAAAATGGAAAAAATAGTACTTTTAAATTAATGTAGTATTTTAGTGCTTGTAAAGCATTTTACACTGGTGTGTATGTGTGTGTGTAAAGGAACATGACAACTTCATACTAATGTCACTCAAATTCTAAGGAATAAATCAGATTTTATTCATTGTTTCTTGAGCCTATGTAACTGCATTCAATTTTAACATCTTCATTATAGACATAGAGTTTTTAGTTATAATGACGCAAACAGTTGCAGGATGAAATTGAGTATTTTGGGGTTTGCTCTAATTCTGTATGTCAACCAAGAGGTATAGTCAAATATACTTATACATATAATAAAATATTGCATAATTCATTATCCGTATGTATATATATGTATATGTGCATTTCATCATGTGTAAATAGATATACACATGTATGTATGTGTATATATGTATGTATATAGATATACACATGTATGTGTGTATCTATATGTATATATATATATATGTATATATATATATATATATATAATTGGCTGTTGTTTTATTGATTTAGGTATTCTTGCGTGAGGTCTTTGTTTGGCTGTGACAGTACTGAAGCTTGAACCCCAGGGCCTCATGTTCTCATTCTGCTTTTTTGTATGTGTGTGTACCAGTCCTGGAGCCTGAACTCAGGGCCTCACTGCTGTCCCTGAGCCTCTTTCTGCTCAAGGCTAGCACTTTACCACTTGAGCCCACAGCACCACTTGCAGCTTTTTGTGAGTAGTTTATTAGAAATCAGAGTCTCACAGACTTTCCTGCCAGGGCTGGCTTTGAACTACTATCCTCAGATCTCAGCTTTCTGAGTAGCTAGGATTATAGGCATGAGCCAGGGGGAACTGGCTCATTCAGCTTTTTTGTTTATAACTGGCATTCTACCACTTAAGTCACATCTCCACCTCTGGCTTTTTGCTACTTGATTAAAGAGTTTCCTACATTTGTCTTCCCAGACTGGCTTTGAACCTTGATTTTCAGAACTCAGCTCCTAAGTTTTAGGTTACAGGTGTGAACCATTGTACACCCAGCATTGTTGGATTGCTTTTGATTTTTAGTGTTTTATTTTATTTGAGACAAAGTCTCACTGTGTAGTGCAGGCTACTCCCAATCCTCCTACCTGTTCCTCCCAATTAATAGGATCACAAGAGTTTGCTACTGTGCCCAGCCAAGCTGACCATTTTAAATAAAGCCCTTTCATTCAGCTAGCTTTCATAGCCATATATTCTTGTACAAAAGTCAGACCTGATCTCCCACTAACAGGAAGTGGCAGAGAGGATTTTTCCTCCACAGTTTGATGCCAGAAAAGAAACTGAGCTGTTTCTCTGATGCTAGTTAGTCAGAAGATTTGATCTAGAAGTAAAGTATGCAGAGACACACTTCCAGTTCACAGGCAGACTTGCAGAGGAGGAAATCTGTCATCTTTCTGACCCAGAGTGACTCTTCTACATGTGTCTTTCTTTCCTGTTCTTTTTACATTAGTATACATTAATTATGTAAAAGTGTTGGCCATGGTATTTCACAAATGCACACACTGTACATTAGGCAGATTAACCCCTCGGTTGCTCTCGCTTTTCCCATCACCCCTTTTATTCAATATCTTCTAGAGAGTTTCCTTATGCCATACTCATGGAACATTCTCAGATACTGTTTACCCTCCATCCTTCTCTTTCCTTCTCTCTCTTCTCTCTTCTTTGTCTCCTTAAACAGTCCTACAATTCTAGTCACCTTTTTGTTTTCTTTTTTGTCAGTCATGGGGCCTGAACTCTAGGCCTGGGCGCTGTCCCTCAGCTCTTCAGCTCAAGGCTAGCACTCTACCACTTGGGCCACAGCACCACTTCTGGCTCTTTCTGCTTATGTGGTGCTGAGGAATCGAACCCAGGGCCTCATGCATATGAGCCAAGCGCTCTACCACTAAGCCACCTTCCCCTTTTGTGTGTGTAGATGTATGTTTGTGTAGATGTATGTCTTTTAGGTATATACTCTGCCTATGATAAAATGTCTGCCTCTTTCCTTCTGACTCTATATGACTTTGCTTAACATAATGTTCTCCATTCCCATCCATTTCCCTGAAATGGAGTAATTTCATTCTTCTTTTTGACTAAATAATAGTATACATTGCACACATCTGAGAATGTGTATGTCCATATATTTAGGAAATTACTACCTATGCATATAAGTTCCAGTGGTTTTCCCCTAAGTTTTCCTGTAGTTATTTCAAAGTTTTGTGTCTGACATGAAGGACTTTGGATCCTCGTTGGATTGATTTTAATACAGAGTTTGAGCTGGATCTACTTACAGTCTTCTGCATGTAGACATCTCATTTTCCCAGCATCGTTTGTTGAAGATGCTGTCTTTTCCCCTTGGCACCCTTGTCACACATCAGCTGGCTGTACCTGTGTGGGCTCAGGCCTGGCTCTTAATATCTCTACCTTTTCCATCCCGCGGCAGCACTGTGGTCTTCTTTCAGTGTCTCAATGGTATGCTGAGGTTGCGTCTTCATTTGTGTGCTCATTTGCTGAGACCTGACCTGGCAGGCTTGGGCTCTGAGTATCCTGGGGTGAGCACTGACTGCTAAGTCAAAATGTTGCTTGCTTGCTTTGTTGTGGGCAGACTAGCAGCAAGGTGGAGGTTACAGAGGAGCAGATTTCTGCTCAGCTAAGTACATCTTTCCCCTGTCTCCTTCAACTCACCCTCCCTCTGGGCCCCTAAGGTACACTGAGGCCAAACTTTCTCCTTTCCATACCACTAAACTTGTCTTCTACTTCTCAGGGTTTCCCCTCTTGTGGTTTCTCCTTGGAGCCTCTTAAGTGTGAAAACAATGCAAACTCTTGCTCTGGTTAATAGGATCTCAAGGTGCAAATTATACATGTCAGGCGATGGCAGGTGTAAGGTCACAGCATCTCTCCAAATTCAGCTCAATGCAAATTCATAGATACATCACAACTTTCATTTTTTTTAAATTTTTTGTCAGTCATGGGACCCGAACTCTGGGCCTGGGTGCTGTCCCTCAGTTCTTCAGCTCAAGGCTAGCGCTCTACCACTTGAGTTACAGCTTTTTCTGCTAATATGGTACTGAGGAATCGAACCTAGGGCCTCATGCATGCAAGGCAAGCACTCTACCACTGAGCCACATCACAATATTTTTTA